AATGTAAAACTTCTCGTGGTCATCAAATGAACAACACACACATACACGCCAAAACCAGCAAACCAGCCAAACAGCCCAGCGCTGTGCTCAGCCTGCCCCTGTCCCGGTTGCAGTCCCTGGACGGATGGAGGGATGGATGGAGGGATGCTGGGGGCTGCAGCGGGCACAACGCACTCTCCGGGCAGGGGCTGGGGCGAGCAGGGCCATGCAGGCAGGGCAGCGCTCTGCCCGCCGCTCTTGCACCACAAGCCTGGGGGCTACTGCTTCCTCCCTTGCATGCCAGCATGGCCCTGGCAGGTGGCTCCTCAGCCCTCCTGCCCCGAGAAACCTTCTTGCCCCACAGGCAGGGAGAAGAGCACCATGCCGGCTGCCCCCACCCCAGCAAGGCAATCAACCCAGGAGCACCCCGACGTGCACCCTCTCGAGAGGACGGCACACATCGAGCCCTGAATCCCACCAAGGGCACTGTCAATTTGCCTAAATCCCCTCCTTGCTCTATCTGCAACCTTTGGATTTCACAGCTGCAGCTGGGAAGCCCCTGCAGGAGCAGGGACACTGGGAATGCAGCGCAGGGCTTCTGTTTGTCCACAGACAAAGGCCAGGGAAGAAGGAAGGTCGTGCTTCCTTCTTCCTTTCCTGGAGCCAAGGCGAGCATACAGAGAGGCAGCTCAGGTGTACCTGACAGCAAATTAAAGGTTTCCAAAAACAGGGGCTGTTTCATCCTGCAGCCCAAGGAACGAGCCCTCCACCCCCCGGGAGTCCTGCCCACCCAGCAACCAACGCGCTTTTCCCAAAGCCGCCCAGCATCCAGGGTTTGTTTGAGGGTTTTAGGGAGCAGAGAGACTGTACGGGTGACAACATGCCCCACGTGAAGCACAGCACGTGGATGCTTACCGCTGTCCTTGCGCCTCCGGTTGGGAAGCGGCTGCGCCGGGCTGGGTAGCCGTGGCACGGCTCTGAGGACCACTCGCCTCCATGCCCTGCCCGGGAGGGAAGGCAGCCCCGCTGCCCTACAATTTCTTTACAGATTTTTCAGTGATTAGATTGCAAATTCAGACAGAGATTTCAGATCTATCCGGGATATTTTTTACACCTGTCTTGTTACAGAATATCTGAAGTGCATGATTTCTACACGCATCGACTACCTGGAACCAGACCCTGAGGAAGCAGGCTGGCTTGGTAACCGTCTTACAGTTTGGTAACATTCATACAGTGGATAAGCAAAGATTATCAATAAACAGTTGTGCTGAAAACAGAACGGGCTCTGCCTGCTCGTGTAACTAATCCCAGGGTCAAGCAGATCACTGAGGGGTTGGCTCCTGCTTAACCCAGCAGTTCAGCCGGCTGTTGGTGGGCACTGGAAAAGCAGCTCCAGGATGGGAGGAGGGGATGGGCTAGGGCTGAGTTTGTGAGTGGTATGGTGAGTGAGGGTAGTGCCTCAAAATATTCAGCCCTGTGGCACTTCTGACCCGTTACAGCCCCCCCGGCCTGGATTTCACCTGCAGCCCGCGATGCCAAGAGCACAGGGAGTATCTGGATCTCCCTCACCTCTGCGGTCCAGGCGCTGCGGAGCCAGGCAGCCTGCACCCCCAGGGAGTAGCCAGCCACCAGTCAGGCACAGAAACAGCCACGCACCCGCCCCAGCTCCGCACGCTCTCCAGACTCCACAGCAGGACCACCAGCCTGCCGGAGGGTCTTAAAATAAACCATTCCCAAAAATGCTTCCAGCTGCCTGCACTGACGCATCAAAGGCATCAGGCAGCTTCATCAGGCGCAGCTCCAGGGTGGAGGGTGCAGGGCTGCCACTCATTTCCTGCACAGAAGCCAGCGCCTGACATTGCCTAGAGCACAGGGCCAGTTTGGCAAGAAATGGCCCAGCACGAGCCCCTGGCCCTCACGAGCAGTCACGCACCCAGACCCGACATCAGTGCGGCAGCTGCTCCTCATCTCGTTATACTTGAAATGACCAGTTTTTAAACATCCTCTCCACAACATAACCACTAAGTCAAGGGTCTGGAGCTCTTTGCTGCGTTACCCCAAGACCATCAAAGGACAGAAACAGGCCTTGGTGGCCAGATGCCGTTCAAGAAGCAAAAGGGAATGAAGCCGCCCCAGCTGTTCGACTGCCAACAGACGGCACAGCAGATTGTAGAGGAAGATTCCTGTCGACAGCAGGCAAAAGCATCTATTTTGTGCTTTGCTGCTGTGCCAAAACTCCCTCCTGTCCCTCTTAGGCTTTTCCTTCAACTTCTTTGCATTTCCTCATAGAGCGCACAACCCCTTCCCAAAACACCCAGCTAGGAAGACAGCAGGATCTCCCTCAGGGAAGTGGAGCAGTCTGGAGCTGCCACGCAGCCCTGCCTGCTGTCTCATTGCTCCTTCTGCCAGTCCAAGGCTTCCTCACCTCCTGAGCATGCCAGAGAGAACCTGGATCAGGGCTGCTGAGTGCGCAGAGACAGAGCAGCATCGCACAGAGGGAGCCTCTTGGCTCACTGTGTTGGAGGAGCCCAGAGCATCACAAGAAGGCTGGAGCACACAACCATCTTTCTTCCTGCCTTCTCCCACCACCTCACCCCTCACCTACACAGTGCCTCTCCAAACTGCACTCCTGAATCCAAGCAGCTTGTCCGTAACCGAAGGAAGGAGTACCTTACTTTGTCCTTTCTTCTGCACCAGGGCAGGTCTCCTGGAGGGCTGCAGCTCAGGCTTCCCAATGAGGATTCACATCCACCGTGCCGTTAGCCGACAGGCACCGGATAGTTCTTCAGTGCAGAGCAGTTGCACTCCCACAGTCCCCATGAGGAGACCAGCAGGAGCAGGGAGCAGTGCCACACAGCTCTCCTGCTGCTGAAACGCCTCCTCAGCTGCTGGAGCTGGAGGCCAGATGGCAACCCATGCCCAGCCACCACCTGAGCGAGCAGCTGGCTCTTCCTCTGGAGTCCACTGAGTTTCCCAGCCAAGGTCTGTAGAGGAGCCCTGCAATGGCAGAGCTACTTCGGGAATCATCTGCCGTCAGAGTGGAACAAGAAGCTGTGATGATGGTGACTTTATTGTGTCCAGCTCCTGGGGGTGCCCCGCTAACACAGACAGAAGCCGTAGAATCACAGAACGGTTTGGGTTGGAAGGGAACTTAAAGCCCACCCAGTCCCACCCCCTGCCATGGGCAGGGACACCTTCCACTAGACCAGGTTGCTCCAAGCCTCATCCAGCCTGGCCTTGGACACTTCCAGGGATGGGGCATCCACAGCTTCTCTGGGCAACCTGTCCCAGTGCCTCTCCACCCTCTACGGGAAGAATTTCTTCCTGATGTCCAGTATAAAAAAACCATTCCCCCTTGTCCAGTCACTCCCTGCCCTTGCAAAAAGCACCACCACCCCCCCCTCCAGCTTTCTTGTAGC